CCTTTTCTGCAACTCGAAGAGCGTTTGAATAACCCATTTCCCCGGAGCTGGTATTTTTTGTTGATAAAAATTTACATGCAGCTCTTGAACGCTTTTCTATCTATGGCTATAGCTATGCTTGAATCTTGTTTACATGTTGTTTGGACCTACGCAGTTTTATTGCAAGGGCTGTAAAAGTCTCTACTACGTTCGATAACAGGTCGTGCCTAGCTCAGGTCACTTCCTCATTGCTGTTTTTGCTGGTATTCTCAAACTGCAAGGAACGATTACAAAGTCATAATAATACACGAGGACATTATCATCTGCCTGCTTTTCACGTGGAATCGTTTAGCGTGCCTTTTTTCTCGCATCTCCCGAAATCTGGAGTTTGAGATTGGAAATGCTCATAGCTATCAATTTCAGGTTATGGATGAGTTGTTGGCAATCATTGTAATTGTTATCCTTTGCTGTGTTATGTTTTTCGCCTGGCTGGTGTCAATGGCGACTTGTCCAGATGCAATGGTTTCGTTCCTCTCCGGTTCGAGGTAAGCTAATTGAACGTTTGTACTGGAATTTAGAGTTCGTAAAAAATTTCAAATGCCGGCATTGGATGCTCCATATTTTCCTAGAAAATCAGTAACTCTGAATTTTTGTTCACCTCTTGTAAAGCGAGTCGAAAACAAATTATTTGATTTCGAGAATTTGTGAACATCGTGAATGTTTGTAGCGAAGCTTGCCTAATTCATATTTTCTCCATCTGTATTTTTTGTAGGAGCGACTCAAATTATTCCTCATCTCACGAGTCAAAGGAGCTGATCAATCGCTGTGAGGATGATCAGGTTAGATCCTTTCTCACTGATTTTTTTGCGAAAGCTTGTCGTTGCTCTTTCTCAAAGAAATTAACAAAAGTTCGAATTACAGGAACTGGTAAAGTCCGTCTCTTCCGTCTATCTACAACTGAATGCACAGCGCAAGATGAGTGATAAGAAGCTCAGCGTTGTACCGGAAGCCGATGAACAGGTTTGTTCGTTTCTGCTACCGACATTCACCTGCCTCGTTTGAACTCTGTGAATACATCATTTCTTATTTGGGAACCGTTCAGTTATTTCCCTATGTATTTTCGAGTGTAGGGAAGAAGGAAAAGTTGAACCCGAAAGTACTTCCCCAAAAAATGTTTATAGCGTAGTATACGAGTTTCCTCTTTTTGCAGCCGGTGTAGATTTGCTTTGGATAAGAATTCAGAAGTTTGCAGAACTTTGATGAATTTTCATGTAATTATGTAACTACTACTGAACTTTCTTCCATTTTGAGCTGCTAATTTTCTCTTGTTGTTAGCAGGGAATGGTCAGAACTTAACCCAGCCATACCAATCATGCTGTATATCATCGGACTCGTATTGAAACGATGATCACAAATGTTTGTTTTTTACCTGCCAAGTGATTATCTGGGAGGAGTTTATGAGCCTTTGAATTGCTTTTGTCAAGTGTTCTGTGGTGCATGTTTCACGAAATAGGTTACTTACTTAGGTTTTTGTTAAATGTGCTTCTTCCTTGTTATTAAAATAACCATATGTAAAATCGCGCCATCAGGTTGCCTTTTAAGGAAATATATTTGTCGAAACTCAATTCCCCATTTTGAACACTCATAGCTCCTCCCAGATAGTCGCTTGGCAGATAAGGAACATATGTTTGAAATCAGCGTTTTAAGACGAGTCCGATGATCTACAGCTTGTTTGGAATGGTTGAGTCAAGTTCTGACTATTTCCTCGTTAGTTTTTTTTTAAAGTTCTTTTCTGTTTATCTGAAACTGCACTATTCAGCTGACCGTTCAATCGACTATTCATTCAATGCGACCATCAATTCTTCGCGCACCATCGCAGACTAATGGTGAACAAAAGAAGTTGGACATTGCTGAAATGGTGTGAACTGCGGTCTTGGCAGGAAGCCAACTTATGTCTGAACACAACTCTCGAAATCTTGAATATGTGGACCACCATCAAGTGTCTGATATGACAGAAACTATAGTCCGTGGAAAAGGAAGATTTCTAAATCATTCACCAGTAGACTGTTAGTGCTCAGTGTCTTTCCCGTTACTTCTTGCAAAATCAGCTTTATGCACATACAATACTGCCCTGGGTTATTTCGGACGGAATATAAATGAAAAGCCTCCCGTCAAGCGGTTGATCTTCTTTCTAGAAAAAAGAACAATTATCTTGAAGGAAATCACATGCGACGCAAAAAGCTCCCTTGCAAAAGACAGGACAGTATTGTATGTCCAGGACTTGGCTTCCACAACAAAATGTTATGAATCGTCTCCTCATCCAGTTTCCCTACAATTTAGAAGCAGTATTCAGGCAAAATGGATACTTAGACTATTATGTGGATGATTTAGAGGCCTTAGCTATGATATCATCTAAGCTGCAACTCATAAGAATTATTTGTGGCTGAGAAATTCACCTCTGTACTTTCGCCCAGACCGTAACATTTGAACGCACCAAGCGTCTTTGGAGTATAGAAAGTATGGTGTGGGCTGATGTTAAACATTGGATTTTTTGGCCACGAATGAATTATTTGAGCTGGCGCTTGGACAATATCTTGGTTGAGGGCACTAAATCAGTTTCCGCCCAAGAAACCATGTATTTAGATCCGCCTGGACGTTGTCTCTATGCAAAACCTTGGTTGTACATACTCAAATTATGCATGTTATTGCTGTTATTTCATTTTATCCTCGTTACCGCATAGGATCCCCAGTTTACCCTTAGGATTCGTCTGTCTGCCTCCACTTTTAGGCGCTTTCTTCAGAGTCTCAGAAAAAAATCACCTTCACCTCTTCCCAGTCAGTGTCGATGTCAGAACAGAATCTATTATCTGCTACTCTCAAAATACTGGTCCACGATTTTCAATTATAATCTGCGAGGTTTCCACCCCTTTCCCTCAATGCTTTGGCATCGAGCCAACTCAGCTAATAGGCTAATATCTTCGGTGCTTCTATCATATTTGTCGGTTTGCGAGAATTATGCTACATATTGATGTTCAATATCTTCATATTTATGATCACAGGGTAACTGTATTCCTTTTTTGTTGCATTCATTTATTTGTGACCTCGAAATCTGTCTGGTTCGATTAAATCGCCATCCTCAGCTCAATAAACGGGTTTCATAAAGTTGTGTTAAATAATTAGCGTTTCGCCTAAGGTCATCCAGGAAGTTATCTTGAGTTGCTTGAGTGAAGTGCTATCGCACAATTTGTACTTCCAATGGGAAAATCTTGTACAAGGCCTTATTTACACGGGAAACTATCTAGAGCTCGTTCGATAATCTAAAAAAATTTCTTTCATCTACCATCTTTGCTGTATATTTTTTGAAATTGGGATGGATAGAGAGGCCATTTAAATGGAGGAAACGAAAGGAATTCCAAAATACTTATTTTAACAACCAAGCTTTTCGTGCTTGGGTCATGTACAGATAAGTAATAGTAATTGAAAACACAAGTTTTCTCTAAGTAGCGAATATTAATTGTGGTCTGCTGTGTTGTCTGTTTATTCCTGTGTTTAGTACCAAATTTTCTCACACTCACGAAATAATATAATTTCATTTTGTATGAGGTAAAAAAACCCCCCCATATCCACATCCGTGATCATGTTTAATTAAATAAGCGGGCACCATTAACAACACCAACAAAAAAGTTTGAAAAAGGTGGGAGTTTGATATTATAGTTGAGAATTATGTTGACTCCTTTATGAGTTTCCGAACATTTTCACATGATATCAAGCACATATACGTATATTGCACTTAGGTCCCGGCATGAGTGGCTTCCCAGAATTGCATAAAACGAAGTCTCCTTTGACTTCATTGTGAAAGTACGACATCCGCCATGAGATAAGAGGGAAAACACCTGAAAAGTAACGGAACAAAACAGAACATGCCAGAGAAGCATCAAACAAACGCGATGATATTCGTATTTCTGGAATGGCGGCATAATGTATTCAGCGCGCAGCACTACGCGACCTGAGCAGCGTTGACCCCGTCATTCAAAATTTTCAGGGGGCTGTGACTAAGCTGGGAGGAAATGGTTTGAGGCGGTTTAGGAAGCAGTTTGTGGGGTTTGGGATATAGATGAGATTTTGGAGAATTTAATAAAATAATGTGAGGGAGGAAAATTCTATGACTATTCCTTTCCCAAGCCACCTCGGGTGGGTTCCAGGTGACTTGTAAGCCACCTAACTGAAAAAAATTGAGCGCGTCTTCAGCTCGCATAATTTTTTTCATAGTTTTTCATACTTGGTCCTAGCTCCCCATTGCCCATCTACACACCTACTTTGATGTCATTTCATCTTTACTTTGCTGTAAGCAAGCAAGCCCTTTGTTTGTTTGGGAGAGCATGCTGCCGGCATGCCGGCAGCGTGCCGGCGGCAGATCGAAAGACAGCGATATACCTTCCCGTAAAAACAATATCCCCTTTGCTTTTTCCCTCAGAAACGATATCCAGCTTGCTTGGTAAGCCACCTGCGCCGTGCCGTGCTCCAGCCAGCCAGTATATCCATTCCCCTCCGCTAAAAAAACTCCAAACCGTCAATGCTTGTGACCTATTCAAGATGGTATTCCGCCAAACTTTTATTTTTACAAAAAAATGGAGATACTTTTGCAAGCGTCCAACAAAAGCCAACATTGTTTTAGTTCATCTCTCATTTCAATTCTCCTAATATACCGCAAAATTTTCCAAGTTTTTTCCATTAAAAGAAAATCTTACTTTTTCGTCTTCCAAAATGATGTTTCCACTAACTTGAACGACTTCAAAAAATAATCACGTGAGCTTATTATCACTGATGACTGCCTTTAAACAAAAAATCGCCTATCTCTCTGTTGTCAGTCACTCTCTTGCATAACCATGTAGTTTGATTTTCCATGCAGTTTCCTTTCCTTTCAATATTCAGAAAATGTAGTTTTGGTTTCTGAAATTCGTATTTTCTATCCGGAATTCACGCCAACAATACTTTCCTGTAAATTATTGGATGGCTTTTTAGAGCATACAAGGTCGACGTGGAATGTTTCACATACTAGGCAGACTACATATATCGATACATCATACTAATTCAATAATATGTCCCGAACTTCACTGATTTTTTCGATCTTTGTGATTTATGTGGGCGTTTGCTTGGTCAACTATACTCTCATCTTAATCCAGCGACATTTTTCAGGTTTGCTAAACTTACTGTGTGTGCTTTCTCAAATTATTTGAATACTACTACCACGCCACAGATTTTGGAACTTTTCCTACATAGTTTAGATGAAGTGAATGCTTTGATATGATCAGCACTTATACGACTATCCATTTGCTTCAACACAGATCTGCCAGTCGTTAGCATTATCCTAATACTCGATAAAATGCTTTAGCGCCTTAGGACCTTACGTATTTGAAGTTAAAAAGGCTACACCAAGATACTTGAAAAATTATTAGATTGGCTAATAAACAAGTTCGCTCGCTTTTGCGGCTTTTACAAATGCTGCAAACAAATTTTTGTTTAGTATTCGGTTCTCTGGAGAAGACTTCATTGAAAATTGGAGTATACATTTTTTATGAGTAGAACATATCTTTCGAAGAAAAAAAATCCACAAACAAATGTGAAATCCCAATTTTCTCATCGTGCGCAAATATGAGGAAGTTTGGTTTTTTTGATAAAAGATTTTCAAAGTGGCAGATCGCAATTTTTATTGTCATTCACTAAATAGGGGAAACTCCTCTGTATCTTGATACCAAACTGCTCTTCTCTACATCCGTTACAGCATGAAAACGAAACTTAAGAATTCAACGAATTGAGCTTTTGGAAATTTAGCCATGTTGAGGACTGACGTTAGAAAATTCCAAATATTTGATATGTGATAGAGGAAACTCTGAACTATTTTCCCACAAAAAATCATGGATGGAAAACAGCTAGAAAAATTTTTATGAAGATGATTTGCATGCCAAAACGAGCTTATTTTTTTAGCCAACCTAATAATTGGGTTCGCTTTTTGATGATCGCTTAGGTAATCTCTGGACAAGGTGCCCCTATGGAGGAAGTCAACCATTATAAGCCGTAGTGCATTGTTCTCAATGGGCAGTACATATATGAATACCATTGGCACATTAGGGGACTCAGAAAGGCGTGTAATCAGCAAAAATCCCAAGACTTTAATTTTTCCTAGATATTGCCTTTCAATTATAAATGACCAATAATCCAACGACTCGTTTGGTCTCAAGCATTAGAAAAATTGTGGTTTTCTCTTTCCTGTCTAGTGGGAGGAGGGAAACGAAGATAGGATACAACTTGCTCTCATGCAACTCTTTGCATTTCGTACTAATCATAAAGTGGTTTACATATGGCACGTACATAAGAAAAGTTTTTGTCTTCTTCATTTAAGTTTGAATGAATGTCAAAAGATAGTGACTATGTATACGGGAAAGGTTTAGAATATTATGTACAATTTCTTCTAAACAAACCAAAGAAAGGCTATAGGTAAATAACACCTCGACTCACATTCAGAGGCTAAAAGAAAATTGTAATATTTCTTTTAACTTCACCTTCTCTAGAATTCTATATTCATGCCATTTCTTGTGAGCCTATCAGATGATTACAAAATGGAGCAAATTACGCTTTATGCAGTTTTCACGAATTTCCCTTGCGATGTTTCCAGTATTCACTTTCGCAGAGAGTCTTGAGTTTTTATGGCACGCATGCAAAGTAAAGTTAAAATTCAAAAATTATGAAGTAAGGAATAAAGAGCGGAAAAACTTTTTATGTGACCAAAGATGAGCGCTGTACTTTTAATCTCATAGTTTTCCCAGTTTGTTTGTTATGTAATCCATTTCAAAGTACATATAAGCAAAAGATATGTTTATATCAGATTGGTTCGAAAATCCTGTCACACCATTTTCAGAAATTCATAACTTCTGACATTCATTTTTGTTTGGAAGAACAAACCATGCTGTTCATAGCGGTATGTTAACGGCTTCCCATTAAACATACGCTGCATAGATAGAAGCGGTAGAAGAAAACTCTTGAATTTTTCTAAATCTTGTATTTTTATGGGGTCATAAAAACTCTGCAACTTGCAGCAAAAATCGGAGCTGTCAGTGTTATAGGTTCTATTACCTGTTCTTTCTAACTGTGCAAAGTTTGTGCTGATTATGCTTCTCTCTAAAAAGTTATGATTTTTGAGAAAAACGTCAAAATAACTCAATTTCGCACTTGTATTGCTTGCCCGAAAATCATAACTTTTCATAGAGACGCTCAATCCAGACCGCACAGTCAGAAATAGCAGATACTAGTACCAATAATACTCAAGCTCGAACTTTTACTGCAAGTTTCAGTTTTTCAATGGCCCTACACAGAAAATTCAAACCGCTTCTATCTATACAGTGTATGCTTAGTGGGAAGTTGCTAAGATATTACTATGAACAGCATGATTTGTTCTTTCAAATAAAAATGACTGCAAGCAGGTTGATCGGAGAACTCAGAAGTTAGGAATTTTCAAAAATGGTGCGACAGTTTCGGGTCAACTTAATGCATTCGTACGTATGTCTTACTCTCCCTATGTATGTTTGGAATGGATAATACAATTGTGAACCAGAATTTTACAAAGAACGAAAAGGAGCAAACCAGCTTAGACACAAAACCATAAAAACTTTTCACGCATACAAGAGAAGGAGGGGGAGTCATAGGATTCTCTACAAATTTTGGGAGAGCCTCGGGCTTCTTGTAGTGGAATGAGTTTGGAATTTGCAGAGGCATTTTTTTTGTTCCCTTATCCGATGGCTCGTTAGATTCAAAATATTGAAAATCTTATTTTTCAAGCCGACTAGGTTTTTAAAGTTTCTGTATGAGTAGATTATTCGGTTGGAGTGTTCAGAAACCATGCAAAGTAATTGCCGGCAATTTGCTTGCGATTTGCGCGCTATTGGCCATAGAGCGCACATGGTCGTTGTTTACGCGCATATGTTGTCGGCTACGCAAACAGCATATTAGTGGATCCCATGATATCTTGACTACACCTTTGGCTCATCTTCTGACTTAAGAACTCAGATTCAGGAAATTTGTGAATAGAACACCCCTCTTTTGCACCCGCTTGTCACCGAAACGCTTGCGTCCCTCGCTGTGTATATAACTATTAAATCCAATTTTTCGCCACCATTTCTTTCGCTAAACCAGTCTATTCTCTTTGGCAGCAATCGCCACGTGTAAATTACAGCAATAGCAAACTCTTCATGTCGACCCAGTACGTGGAGCAATGCCTAAAATGCCATCGTTTTCCAGGACTGCATTCCTTTTAGGGGTTGTAGTCGTGATCTATGTGATTATTTGGTGGAATGCTGCAGGTTTGCAGTTTTTCAATGTACTTTATGATGAAAATGTTGTTTTCTCGGTAAATACTCATTTGTAGCTCAAGTTTGATATCGACCTTACGATTAGTTCTTTAGTGAAAACTTCATGAAGCGATTCTTCAAACATAAATGTGAGCGTTATTGGGCTTATTCCAAACCAAAGATAGAACTTTTTCTACTAAAGAGAGTACATGTTTCTTTCATTTCCTTCTGTGATGATGAAGAAAGGATTTACAATCAAGATCTCAACATTAGCACAAAAGATTTATTCAAAGAGCCTGTGTCACTTCTCTCATAGCCTTTTCAAAAGCTCCCGTACTATCCAGATTTTTTTGAAACTCTTTTTCCATCGTTTAGTTCGATTAAGGACGTTATTTTGCTGAATTGTGGTTTTGTTCTTGCTACGAAGAAAGCTAAAATGTCGCAGTATACTTCGGCTTCCATGAAACTATATAATTTGTCCTGTGAAAGGCTTGTGCTACATTACTGTTACTTGGAAGTACCTGATACACTACGTAAAGAGACAGTTTATTAGTCCTTTCATGATGCCTTGCAAGACATACGTATTATTTTGTCACAACCTTTTGCATTTACCTTGACATTTTATACATATCAATCGTAGTCTTCGAAATGGTAATAAGCTAGCACAAGTTCTTGGCGGATATGGTACGTTTCCCTTTCACTTGATTGCCATCAGCTCTATCAGCGCTAGATTTTGAAGCCCCAAAACTCGAGTTGATCGCATCTTGAGTGTATATTAGGTTGTCCGGAAATTAATGTCCGTTTTGAATTTCAACCGCAACAAGTCATATACTTTTCAATCTTAAATAGACTCCAAAGTACCATTTGGTAGAGCAAAGCAAGCTCTACAAGATGGCGATCTCGATTTAGCAACAGCTCTGATCCAATTCGAGTTTCGAGCCAAAATCTAAAATGATTCAACTGCCCGAAAAATCGGAAAAAATCATAACTCATTTCATAAGAGACCTAGAAAAATTGTAATTGCTCACGTAAACGCTATCCACATAATACATCTATGTACGACGTTGCCGTATTTTTTCCTTTGTTAGAAATCAAGAGGAATTGCATGCTTTGCCAAAGTGATTCTGTGCTGTCCCCCATAAGTAGATGTATGCTACAAATCTGTAGAAGTACAAACGTGGGCTTTCAGCTCTCTACAAGCTTTAGTTCTCGAGAAATATCGATTATATGTAGCTTTCATTAGTCGGGTGGTCCAAGCTAAAATTCAAATTGGAGAACTAAATTTCCGCTTTCCTGATTTCTAACAAAGGAATAAATACGGCAACGGCGAACATAGATGTCTTATGTGAATAGTGTTTACATGAGCAATTACAATTTTTCTAGGTCTCTTATGAAATGAGTTATGATTTTTTCCGATTTTTCGGGCAGTTGAATGATTTTAGCTTTTGGCTCGAAACTCGAGGCGAATCAGAGCTGTTACTTAAGCGAGAAGGCTATCTTGTAGAGCTTGCTTTGCTCTATCGAACGGTACTTTGAAGCGTTTTTAAGAATGAAAAGTGTATGACTTATTGCGGTTGGAATTCAGAGCGGACAGCAATTTCCGGACAACCTAATACTATTGCTTCTTGTTTATTGTCAAAAATTGTACGAATCGTTGAGAATGATACAAAAAAGCTATTTTTGGAAATTGCATCGATTATCAAACAGATCAGTTAATACTTGCGTGTTTTCATCCTAATATTGCAGCATTCTACATTCGGACAGAGATCAGTAGAATAATCATTCGGGGTTGGTACGTTGAAAAACAATCATTTAAAAACTGAAAAGAACCAAAGGTTGCATATGAGGGAATTG